GAAACTGCAGTTCTAAGAATTAGATTCATTGCAGAAAAAAAATAAAACATTTCAAAGGACGACAGCAGAGAGACTGGGGCCTCACAAGGGCAGAACTCAGAGCTGAATGAGCACGTGCAGGCGGCGGCGGCGGCTTCCTGGGAGCGTCAGACTGGAGGTGCCCTGAGCTGTCTCCCGTGAAGAACAAGGCGGAAACAGAACTCAGAGCACCGCACACTTGCACCATGCGCACCCCCACCAGCCACCTCCTCACAGGGCTCCAAGGAGAGGCGGAGGGGTCACACCGACTGTCGGACACTTCCCTGAGCAGCCCCAGCCACAGTGCACGCCTGGACGGCGCAGCCTCCCACCTGCACGCCACCCCACCTCCACTCCCTTCTCGTCCCTGAAGAAAAAGGCCCCACTCTGGAGCCCAGACACACACACAGAAGTGAGACCCCCAAAGAACTTGTCTCCTCCATGCACCAGTCCCCCACCAAGGGTATGCACTGAGCACCTGCTGCAAACCCAGCACCAGTGACTGCTGCCAGGGTGTCCTGGCCTCTGCTTACCTACAGAGACAACCTGTAAAACTCAGCCTGTCTGCTGACGGGGAGCGCCCCAGAGCCAAGGGGCTGGCCCGGCCTCCGGCTGCCTCCAAGGAGGCTGTGCAGCACTTGCCTGAGGCACAGCCCCTCTCCCAGCCCTAAACCTCAACGGTGGATCACAGCCAACAGCCACTGTCGGAGGTGGATGGCTGATGGCTGATGGTGGACCTGACCCCAACAGGAGGCGCCAGGTAGGGCCAACAAATCAAGCTCCTCGGGCCGAGTCCAGGCAGCTACGCCCACTGCAGCAGGCCTCGCTGGAGGGCAGGTCTGCCCCTAGGGCACACGCGGCACTCTGTGGAGGTACGTTTGCTGTGACAGCGAGGGGAAGGGACAGGAGGCCAGGGAAGCAGCTCAGCAGCCCCCAGACTTGTGACCGAAACTGAAGCTGTGAAAGGCAGCCTGAAACTATGCCTGTGGGGGGGGGGGAACCTCCCGCAGCCCCTCCTGTGCACACCAAGCCCTTCTCCCAGTCTCCCAAGCACTGACAAAAACCACATGGCCCACCGTCTCCCTCCCGGGGCGAGCAGTGACTGGGCCCCAGGGGCTGAGCACCAGCCTTCCAGGGAAGGCACCGAGAGCCCTCTGCAGTGCGTGCCACAGCCTCCTCCTCCCCAGAACCCAGGTGGGCCCCCAGGTGAAGCAATGCAGGCGGCTATGAGACGGCCACGTTTATGGAAAACAAACCCCAAAGAGCTTCGTGCACTGCCCCCGTGCCAGGATGACTGAGAAACGGGTGGCTCCTCACGTCAGCGCTCTCCCTGCTGCCCTCAGCTCGGGCATCAGAGCCCCAGGCACCCACTCCCAGCTGCCACCCAGCTCCGAGCAGCCCCAGGACCTGTGCCCTCGCCCTGCGGCACTTCCTCTGCGTGCCCCAGCTGCCTCAGCACGCACCAGCTGCCTCTGCTCCTGGAATGACGAAAACATTCTCACAGCGTCCCGCCACCCCCCTGCACTCAGACACACACACTCACACACGCTCACACACATGCTCATACACACACACCCACAAACACCCACACACACTCACCCACACACAACCACCTCTCATACACACTCACACACCCACACTCACACATGCTCACTCTCACACATCCACACACACTCTCACTCTCACCAACACACACCCACACTCACACATGCACACTCACACACATACGCTCACACATTCACACACCCACACACTCAGACACACTCTCACACACACTCACATAGACACACACTCACATGCCCACACACACCCATACACACACTCACTCAGCCACACACACGCTCACACAACCACCTCTCTCACAAACTCATACCCACACTCACTCTTACACACACTTACATACACTCACACACATGCTCACACTCACCCACACACACGCGGGCGCGCTCACACACACCCACACACATACACTCACACCCACACTCACACATTCACACACCCACACACATTCAGACACACACACACTCCTCACACACACGCACACATAATCACACACACACACATACACACACCTCACACACTCACACACCCATACTCACACACACCCACTCTCATTCACACACACACCCACACTCACACATGCACTCACACTCACACATATGTTCACACACCCACACACATGCTCACACTCACACACCCACACATACACACACTCACCCACACTCTCACACACATGCTCACACACTCACACAACTCACAAATTCACACACCCACAAACACATACTCACACACTCTCAGTCACATGCAAACTCACTCCCACACTCACACACACTCATATACTCACATACACTCACTCCCAGGCAGGCGGGCCCTGCCCACCCCAGCACTTTTTCCAGATGAGGTCAGAACATTCCCTCATGGAGGGGCAGGAGGCTCCGCCTTCTTCCTTTGAGCAGAGAAGGTGGGGGACTTGCCCGCTGCCCTGCAGGGAGCCCCTCTGTCCATCTGTCCCTCCTTCTGCCGGCTCCCTCCCAGGATCCAGCGCCCACTCCGCAGCACAGGGACTGCCTGGGGAGCACCGCGCTCCCCTCCCCTCCCCTCCCACAGGGGACGTGCAGAGGCCAGAAATGCTGGGGAGAGGCCCCTCCCCTGCAGACCGGGGAGCCGGGCCCGCCTTGCCGGAGCGGAGCAGCAACGGTCACCAGGCTGCTCGCAGGGACTCCGCTCCGTGTCCGCTCTCCCCAGAGGCAGGAGGCACCAGGGCAGCCTCGGCGGGCACCGCCGCCTCCAGTCTGCACGTAGGGAAGAGCCTGTCCAAGTGGCTCAGAGCACGGCGGGGAGGGCCACAGAAAGGCCGCGCCAGCTTCTGCCGAAGGGGAGCAGCTCAGGGCGCGAGGCTGGGGTGGGGACATTTCTGCGCCCTCACGTCACTGCACATGACAGCCAACTCAGGGCTCCTACCAAAACGTTTGGGACCTGAAGTCAAACCCCGCCCTGGCTGCTGGGCCCGTGTGAGCCAGTACTCTCCGCGGCCGGTGGGTCTCGGCAGGGCCGTCCTTGGCTGCCCTGGCCTGCACGCCGAGCTGGCTCAGCCCCTGGGCATATCCAGGGCCTGGCCTCCTACCAGACTCAGCGCAGCGATCACACGCCGGAGAGGTGGACAACACGGCTGCGAGGCACAGCAGCGACTGGACCACACCACGGAAGGAGGTCAGCAAGGAAGAACGGCTCCCTGGGGCCCGGGGCTGCTCTGGGCGGGTAACAAAACCTCCTCTCGCCCCAACAAGTGGGTCAGTCGAACCGGTCAGCTTAATGCCCTCTTTATTTCAAAGGTTTTGAGAAACGACCTCCCAGTTAAATAGGCCGTGAACAGCAGAACTTTCTCTGGCCTTGACTCACAGAAAAGGAACCGGGTGGGGGGGCGGTGAACTCACACCCTGATCTCTCCCACATGAAGTCTGCCCCAGTGACCCACCCCAGCGGGCACCGCCCCACGCACAGGGGACGCAGCACAGCGACCGAGCCCCTGCCACAGGCGGCATGTCACTGCTTCTGTGATGGCCAAAAGCATCATCTGTCCCCACGCAGAAGGCCGGCCTCTCGGCCACTCCTCTTCCCTGCGGCACAGATCTCTGACTTCACCAGAGGCCTTGGGGAACGAGGCCTGCTAGGGACCAAAGCCCTCTGCGTGGTGACGAGCCAAGGTCAGGGTGTACACCAAACCCAGCAAGCAGCAGGCCCTGGGGCAGAGGCGGGTGCCCGGGTGCAGTTTGCCCGGGAGACTTTAGAACGACGGGAGAAGCGACTGTGAGTCGTCTGCTTCCCACAACCACAAGTGTCAGCAACTCTGAGGGGTCCCAGGACGAGACGCCTTCCTGTAGAAGGACCTGGTGGGCTGCTGCCGTGGGCACCCAGAACCGCCGTGAGCATCCGCAGGAGCGACAACACCACAGCTGTCATTCGGGGCCAGGTGGCACCGTGCTGTGCGCCCGGCTGCAACTCCAGAATCAGCCCCGGTGTCCAGGTCAGGAAGCTGAGGCCAGATGCGGTGACAGTGACACGCCTGCATCAACGGCGAGCCACAGCCGCCCACAGCAGCCTGCAGCCCCGGAGCAGAGGCACAGGCCGGGTCTGGCCGAGAGTCCGCGCCGCATACCTCCGCCTTCACACGTAGGCCCCGGAGTGCTCGGCAGGCTCACGGGGAAGCACACAGCGTCACCCCGCAGCCGGGCCATCAAGCCCCAGTCTCACTCCGGGCCATGTGAGCCAAGTCCACTTTCTCGTGTGGTCATTTTTCACAGTAAACAAAAAAGTCAAATGTGTACACAACGTATGATCTAAAATACACTGAAGAATCTTTTGGTATCAGAAAACATGGGTTTTGTGGCTGTAACTATTCAGATAATAACATCTTCCTCCCACCCACTGAATAGTAACAACCGCGCACAATACAACGCAGACGCCCTGGCACAGCCACAGGGCGCTCCCACGCAAGGGCCCCTGTCCCTGGCACTCCTCGGACAGGACACTCACCTACTTACTGCCTCTAGGCTGGGCCTCCGACAGCCCCGGGCACCCACACTCCACGGCACACCCTCAGGCACCCAGTCACTCCCAAGGCGGTGCGGCCTGGCAACACCACAACCCACAGCCTCCGGCATGAGGGACTTTCTGTGACACACCTGCAGCCCTGCGTTTAACAAGGCACACACGCTTCTCTGTAGCTGGAGCAGGACGACGGTCCCACGAAACCAAAGGATGGGTAGGTCCCAAAACGGCGCAAGAAGTATTAGGAGCCACCACAGGGCACTGGACGCAGGCTGCCCATGGCACAGACCAACCACGACTCCCGGGACGGCTGTGGCTGCAACAGCGCACGCGAAAAGGCACCTTCAGGCCCAAGCACAGGCCACCCTCACAGGCAGCCCCGCCCCCGCCCTTGCCCCCCCGCCACTTCTCCGGAACCCCCCGCGCTTCCTCACCTGCCGTGATGGTGTCCACATCCTTGGCGGCCAGCTCTTCCACGTCTGACCGCTTTCTCAGCTCAAACCTCCGGGATAAGCCTTCTCGGGGTTTCCACAACTCCTGGATCAAGAGGGGCTTCTCGTTATCCCCAAACACCCGGAAGCACTGGGCCTGCCAGCGCTGCCCCGGGCCCCCGGCCTGGCCCACCACGTCACACAGCACGTACTGGCTGGCGCTCTCGGGGTCCAGGGCATAGCGCTCCAGTGCCTCCTTCACCAGCTCCTGGGCACTGGAGGCGCCCGTGGCCAGCACACTCTTGTAGTGGGTGCCCGTGCAGACACTGTCCCCAAACACCTTCAGGACCCCGGGGGCCGAGAGCTGCGTGGAGAGTTCGGCGGGGTCATCGGTGGCACCCAGGCCAGAGAAGGAAGGGTCCAGGTCACGGTACTTGTGGCTGAGCGTCCTGGACAGCATGCTGGACAACAGCTGGCCCTGCCGCTTCAGCTTGCTCTTGGTGGGCGGAGACATGATGAAGTGAGTCCCATAAAACATGGTGGGCGAGCCTTCCGGACACGGCTGTGGGCTTCAGCCAGAGGACGAGTAAAGGCGTTGGCCTGGGGGGACAGAGCAGGACAGGTCAGCACCCCCCCTCTAGCACCAAGAGTGCAGCAGACCCCAGCTCGTATCCACGGGCACAACGGGCCCCACATGCACACCACCCTGGCCCAGTTCCAGCAGCACCTGAGACAGGACAGGGCTGGAGCCCGCAGCAGCCAAGGCGCCCTTCAAGGAAAGCCAATACCAGGAAGCACGAGGAGGCCACGAGGGTGAGACGTGCCCTGCCATGGGGCGCGCATTTCTGGGAAGCGCAGGGCATGCTGCACCAGGAATGGTGACAACGGCCGAGTGCAGATGGAGCGGTGGCTCAAGGTCACCCAGGGCAGGTCTAGCCCCAGCACAGCCAAAGCGGAGCACTCAACAACCTGCCACCTGCATCGCTCCCGTGCTAGTCCTCATGTGGGAACTGCCACGAGCACTCGTGGAGCTGGGGCAACAGGTACATCCCAGCCCATCCGCATGGTGGTAAGCAGTCAGATGCCCCCGACGTGAACCTGAGAAAATGCCAGTCCTCGTGGGCCGGCAGCGTCTGTCCACATGTCCCCGCGGCCACAGGGGACACAAAGGGCTCTTGCAGAGCCCAAGGAAGCCTGCCTGGAATGCGTGCAATCCACCCACGTCCAGCCGCCCTCGGTCCTCTGCAGGCGCGGATGCAGCCTTGCTGGGGAAATCGGCAAGCAGCCCCGGGAGGCGACGGCGTGTCATCAAATCCGGTTCTAATACCCCGGCTGCCCCAGGGGCTTAGGGCTCGAGATTACGGGCTCCCTGGCAAACCCCAGTGGAGCAGGAGGGCAGAGGAAAGGACAGACACCCTCAGCTTTGGAGCACCGAGGCCGCGCCCCAAAACAGCGCAACAGTGCCTCCTGAAGATGGACCCCACTCCAGGCTCGGCCAGAGACAAAGGCTGCAGACAGCCAGGAGCCCAGGTCCCAGGAAAAGCAGCCCTGGCACCCGCCACTGTGACTCAGGCCAGCGCCCAACTCCACTGAAACCCACTAGAACCCGCCCATCTGCCAGCAGCCATGTGTACTTAGAGGACCTTGAACTCCTCAAAGTGGCTTCTGATAGCTTCACACACCCGAGACTGGGTCCCGACTAACATCTGTGGGTGGGGAGGTGACACCCATCCCACTCGTACAGCGCATGCTTACAGCAGACCACTGCAAAGCCTTTTACAATGCACGATTTTCTGAACACTTGAACTTGCTTTAAAAGTCAGGGGACGGGCACTGCGGCAGAGTGAGCAAGCTGCCCTCGGCACACCAGCGTCCCCCATCAGAGTGCCTGTCGGGCTGGAGTCCTGGCTCTCCTGCGTCCACCCCAGCTTCCTGCTAACATGCACCCTGGGAGGCAGCAGGTGATGGCTTCACTACGGGGTCCCCACCACACACACGGGAGCCCTAGGTCAAGTTGCTGGCTCCTGGCTGCAGCCTGGCCCAGCCCTGGCTGGTGCAGGCATTTAGGGAGTGAACCCGTGCAGGGATGCTAGCCCGCTCGCTCGCTCTGCCTTCCAAATAAACAAACTTCCAGAAAAGACAGACGCCCCAGAGACACCAGCTCCTGTCTGTAAGCAGCCTGGACACGAGGCTCTCCTGGGCCCCAGTGGTCAGACTACAGAGGAGTGAGTAAGTCATCGGTTTTGCTTCTCCTCCCCTGAGGCATGTGCCACCAGTCTCCCTGTCAGACCCTAGAAGCCCAGGGCTGCCCACCACTTCTGGTGACACTGCCACTGACCTCTCCCAGCAGCACTGCCTGGGCACCACAGCGCTCACATCACAGATGGCACGCCGCACCCCTTCAAACCACTCCCGCTTCCGACCTGAGCCGCCTCCTGGGGACACTGTATATATACATATACATATATACATATACAAATATATATATATATATATATATATGTTTATTTGAAAGTCAGAGTTAGAAACAAAGACAGAGATAGATCACCCATCCTCTGGTTCACTTCCCAAATGGCTGCAACAGCCAAGACCGGGTCAGGCCAAAGCCAGGAGCTTCCTCAGGGTCTCCCACGTGGATTCAGAGGCCCACGGACTGGGGCCATCTTCTGCTGCTTTGGCAGGTGCATTAGCAGGGAGCTGGATCAGAAGTGGAGCAGCCGGGACTGGAACCAGCGCCCATAAGGGATGCCTGTGTGCAGACGGCAGCTTAACCTGCTCCGCCACAGCGCCGGCCTCGAACACTTTTCAAGAGTACTTGGAATCAGAAGACAAACCTCTGACCACAGCCTCTCACACCAGCACTTTCTTTTTTAAAAGATTTATTTATTTATTTGAAAGTCAGAGTTACAGAGAGGCAAAGGCAGACAGAAGTCTTCCATCCTGCTTGTTCACTCCCCAGATGGCCACAATAGCCGGAGCTGTGCCGATCCGAAGCCAGGAGCTTCTTCTAGGTCTCCCACGTGGGTGCAGGGGCCCAAGGACTAGGGCCATCTTCCACTGCTTTCCCAGGCCACAGCAGAGAGCTGGATCGGAAGTGGAGCAGCCAGGACTTGAACTGGCGCCCATATGGGATGCCGGCACCGCAGGCAGCAGCCTTACCCGCTAGGCCACAGCACCAGCCCCATGCTGGAGTTTCTAACCACCCCTGCGAGTCATGCAGCTCGGCTCTCGGAACTCCCACATGTGCCTCCTGAGACCACCCCGCCCCGACCTGGCCTGCCACAGGTGCCGAGCGTGGCAGTGGATTCCGCCACAGGGCCCTGAGCCAAGCCCACAGCGGCCGAGGGCACAGCCTTGGCCAGGGGCAGCTGTGGCTCAGGAAGCCCGTGCTTCTGCAGATGACGTCGGAATGGAGACTTCAACGCGATGCCAAAAGCTGCGGAAACCGTCTCCAGGCAAGAGGAGAGTCAGAGTAAACACGAGAGTTGCAAAGCCCCAGATGCCGGGACACGCACAACAGCTTGCGGAAACAGGCACGGAGAGAAAAACGAACTGCGTGCGGGTCTCCAGCCCTTCTGCACCACGACAAGCGGATCTTTTATTTCTATCTCCCGCAGGCTTTTCAAAGGCCCTTCATAAAAGGGAAATCAGGTGGTATCTGGCACCCAGGAGTGGAGGCGAGCTTTTTAAGGTCTGACGTTGACAATTTCATGATTTCTGCTTTGTGTGGTGCTTGTTTACTTCATCTTATTGGAGAGGGAGAGTGACAGAGAGAGAGCGAGAGGGATACAGAGCGACCATCCATCATCCACTGGTACACTCCCCAAACCCCTGCAACAGCCAGGCCTGGGCCAGGCAAAAGCCAGGAGCCCTCACCTCCATCCGGGTCTCCCCCACGGGCGAGAGGCCATGCTCTATCTGCTGCTTCCTGGGATGCAGGAGCAGGAAGCTGGACGTGAAGCGGAGTAACAGACATTCCGGCAGGACGCGGAGGTGGACTGCAGGTGCCCCTTGAGCGTCCGCGCCAGCCCTGGTCATTCGGCTTAAAGGAAAAACAGACAGGGTGCATCATTCGGCCCAGCAGCCGGGACACTCACGTCCCAGATAGGACAGCCTGGTCTGAGCACCAGCTGCTGCTCACATACACCCTGGGAGGCAGCCCGGCGATGGCTCGGGCCGGGGGTGCCCTCTGTGCACTGAGCGGTGATGGCTCGGGCCGGGGGTGCCCTCTGTGCACTGAGCGGCGATGGCTCGGGCCGGGGGTGCCCTCTGTGCAGCCCGGCGATGGCTCGGGCCAGGGGTGCCCTCTGTGCAGCCCGGTGATGGCTCGGGCCGGGGGTGCCCTCTCTGGCCCAGGGACTGCTGCAGGCATCTGGGGGCATGAACCAAGCAACAGCAGGGTGTACCCTCCCCTCATCTGCTTCTCCCCCAAAAAACAAAACAATATAAGTTTTTTTTTTAATGTATAAAGAAACGGAAAATTACAAACACGCCGCTGCTAGGCCCCCTCCCAAGGCACGAGAGCCTGAGTGCTCCAGCGTCTCTCCGGATTCCAGGGCGGCGTCGGGAATATCACAAGGGAGAGAATCGGTGCGGCCAGACCGTGATTCACTCCTCTCCTGCTCCGCCCCCTGGACGTCCCAGACCTGGGAATTTCAGAGCTTCCTCCTGGGCACGGTCATCCCCCCGTGGCCATTTCACAGGGCGGCCACCGCACACACAGCCGCTCCCTCCAGGGCCGCCGGAAGCAGGCTACGGCCCATCGGTCCAGACGGGACAGATGCCTCTTCGTATTATTATTATT